CGAAATTCAAAACAAACAAACAAACTTAAACAAACACTATTGACAAAGTTGATACATATATAAATATTAGTATATAAAATGTAAACTGTAATACACATAAACAGGCAAGATACTTTCAAACTAAGCAGTCTTGTAAATCTAATTATATATCGAAATTGACAAAGAACTTAAAACTGTCTGATATCTAACACATAAACAATCTTATCTTATCTTAGCCACAATAACCTATATAATATATACGACAAAGTAACTGGCTACACAAGACAAAGAAATCAATTAAAACATTTCTTTGAAACAAAAACAAATATTATACATCTCAAACCTCTATTTTCCGACAAAAGTAATATTTTATAAGCTTTAAATCATACATTGATCATCTTCAGGCATTAACACATAGGTCACACATTTACATGTAGATGTAGTTGAAATAGTTATCTATATGTTTGACAAAGGTGTCAAAGTTTTCATTTTTGCTCATCTCAGACATTCAGTAGTGTTGTTAGCTGGTTGTTTAACTTTAGTTTCATTTTTTGAGTTAAGAAGGCTTCTTTTTCCTTTGTGTCCATTCATCTTTCACTGAAGCTATTTTCTACAGTGTTTCTTTAGGTGGTTGTAAATTTCAGTATTGTTGAAAAAGCTGTTTGGGACATGCTCCTTGATTTTGGTAGCTAGGGTTCATGTCGTTGACCCAATATAATCATACCTGCGCCACAAGCGTCAATTTTGAAGAAGGTATTTTGTCCTTAAAAAGGGAAAAATATATATATTTGTAAAATGATATTGACTTTTCCTTTTAGTTTGATGCCATGAGAACCAGAGAAAGGTAATACAAATGTGATAGGACATTTGTAAACGTTGAAGTCTGGAATCTTGGGAGTATAAACTTTGTTAAGATATTGATACATCTCTGTTCGTTTGTTAATTTCCCGTAAAAGTTATTTCGGAAAAACTTCAACGATACAAGTCCTTTCTTAAATAAAACTAGTTTATTGTTTCTCAATACAACTTTGCAATACACTTAATTGCCACAGTCACTTTATCTTAAACACACGCTAGAATTCACAACAATTCACGCATTTTACTTACGGCTTGACTCGATTATCTGTCTCTATATCTCTCTATCTGCTATTATTGTCTCCGCTTTATTTGCCGGGCTTATATATTAAAATAGAGGGCGTCTGGCAAACACTCGAGCCTTCATGATCCTTCTAGAAACTCATCACGTGTTACCAGCGTCACTTGACTTCCGCTGTCGCAACAATATTCAAAAATTCTTTTGTTGATTAATGCTAAAGGGAAGTATTTTTGACATTGATTACTTTATCATGAAAATTACAGTAAGATTTAGTAAGTTTATAAGCTCTATGAATGATAATGCTTATTAAGTTAATTTTGCCAGTGACGTGTACAGAGGGAGGAGCTAAAGCTCCTATCCTTATGCCCCAAAAAGTGCTCCTTTTCTCTATCATAAAATATTTGTCAAGAACTACTTTAATATATTTCTGATTTGACACTTTCGTTGCTGAGGGTTATTATTTAGTAATAGAGGTGTTACTAGGTGCTTAAAAGATTCGGGCTCTAGCTGACCCATAGGCACGGGAATTTTCAGTATGATATCGATCATGGTTTTCCATTCTTATTTTTCTAGACAACAACTGGATATCAGGGCACTATCAAATAAAATCGGGGCACGAGCCCTGTGTGCAAGTGTTTAGCGACACCTCTGAGTAGTAAAACGATTTCAACTTTAAAATAAATGGAAAAAGGGGCTTGTTTGTTTTTTACAGTAAAACAAAACAAAAACTGTGGTATGCTATTAAGTGTTAATATGCAAAAATTCACTGTTTAGTTTTAGATTTTAAAAATATTTATAAGATCAACTGAAAAGAAATAAAAGAGGATCTGAAAATTGGAAATAACTCTAATACAATGGTATAACTGCTAAAACCTTTTGTTAAAAGAGAGGGTTGGCTTCTTATCGGTTTTTTTCACCCTATGTGTAACAGAGGTAATTTATAGTTCCCATATTATTCCCTAACACTTCATCTCCCCCTCTATAAAAAAAAAAGTTTTGCCTTACGACGCTTGAAAAGTGCCCCTTTTTATCAATGAATCCCTGCCCTTTTATTGTTCTCTGTACATTGCTGCAATTTGTAACAATCAGTTATAAATGTAGTGAAATGACAATACAGACCAGAAAATATTGGTTTGTGGTAATATCTAGTTTCGAACCTGTTGTTCAGGTTGATGACCTCTATATCTAAAGGTGGTTTCAATTTTCTTTGTTCTTTAACTGTAAATTTAAAATTATTGTGTTTAGATTTTCAATAGTCTTGAAACTTTTTACGTGTTTATGTGTATTACAATTTACATCTCACCATGAGCATCTGCAGGATATACTACAGAAGAGGGGGAGCAGGGTTTGGGTTTAGGGGGAGCGAACCGAAGTGCTGTTCCTGTTGTAAGGAATTGTTGTGAAAACGTTCCTGTTGTAGAATATCCAAGGACGTAATAAATTTAAAGATAAGTTATCACAATCTTACGAATTCAAATAACTTAATAACTTTACACAACTCAAACCCTGGGGACAAAGATGACAAAATGATATCAAAGCTATAACTAGGGAAATGCAAAATTCATAATCGGGGGGGGGGGCAAGTACCCCTTGCGGACTTCCATGTATCTCACGTATTTATATCTATATATATGTACCAATTTAATCAATATTTTTTGTTAGAAACATATGGAGAGTGTTAACATTAAATTACCATTCTAAGACACTGAGTATAAGCAAAGGTATCTTCGTTAAATAATTTGTTATTCATATAAATAATTAATTAATACAGCTAAAAAATTATTGACAACTCTAAGCCATTTCATGGGATTAAGATGAGCCTTTTTAATTGCTCATGTTGTATTAAAAATTGTATCTTGCTAAATCAACAATTTATATTTGTTGCTAAAGTAATTTGTTGGTCTTTGCTCATATTAAAATAAACAAATTGTTTGCATTCTACGAAACTCATAACTTAAAATATTTCTAGCTGCGCAGCTAATGTGAAATTATATGAATTTAAAATGTTATTCTTATTCTTATAGTCATAATTTAGTTAGAATCGTAGTTATATCTGACCTGCCCATCACAGTGGCAGGGGCCTGAATACTGAAAAGGCATGACCTTGAATTTGTTACTTGTTGATCAGGTCGCGTGATGAAATAGATTTAATACAACGCTATACATAAGTACAGAACAGCTGTAGCCTTTCCTTTAAATGTGGAATGACCGTTTATGTTAAAGAGGTGATCGTTTATTTGGATAACGTAAATTAAGTTGTACCAAACTTATAAATGTATTGTAGGAATTGCCACGTGCAGAAATAAGATTTAAATTTTAACTCGGTTTAACATAAGTAAGCTTTAACTTAAACATTACTCATTTACTGTCCAAATTCCCTGGTTTTAGTTTTACTAAACTTTGGAAGTAATTATGGCTGCTGTTCCTAAATCAGATCAAGAAAAACGAAAACAAATTAGCGTTAGGGGAATTGCTCAAGTAGAAAATGTGGCTAATGCAAAAAAGACTTTCAACCGGCATTTGCACTATACTTTGGTAAAAGATCGTAACGTTGCTACTCCAAGAGATTATTATTTTGCTTTAGCTCATGCTGTTTGGGATCATCAAGTGGGAAGGTGGATTCGTACCCAGCAGTATTATTATGAAAAAGACCCAAAGGTAGGATATAAAATGATAAAAATACATGCACTTTCTGGGAAATGTTTTGATGTAATTAGAATTACAAAACTTGTACAGTTATTCTTAGATTAGAAGTTAGGTTCTTAATCTTAAGTATTTTTCTTGGTAATAATATTCTTAAGTTAATGTTATTACACATTATTATCTACAATAATAAAAATGGTGTCAAAAACTTTTATATTTTTGTATTAAAAATAAAGTTTTCATAATTTGAACTGTATACAGTGAATAGAATATCTCTGTGATAGATAGGAACATGTATTATCAAGATTCATTTTGCAGTCCTTGAATTAAAAGGTTACCATTATTAGGAATATAGATACTCTTGTGTATTAGATTTAAGCCATTTGTACTTTGTTCTTAATTCTTTGTGATAGTGATTAGTATTTTTATTTAATGCATACAAAATATCTATCTCAGTTTTGTTCTATACTGTTAAATCTTTTAATATTACTGTCAAATCTCCTGGATCACAAAGTTATTCCTTTTAGCTACCATTTTTTACAAATATATTATATTCATAAACGGTTTTCTCTAGTATTTGTTTATGAAAGGAGCCATTAATTGTAACTAGTAAATTGTTATGATACATTGTCAGTCTGAAAGATTTTCTAGTTTGCCCATTTATATAACAAAGTACTTTTTACAAACAAATTTTGTTTTTTAAACTTAATGACTTAATGATTTTGTTATTAGTATGTCTCAACTTGCATCATTATTTACTTGGTCATACAAATATGGGATTGTATAAAGATATAAACTGTTCTCTCTTTCTTCTACTGAAGCGTGTTTACTACCTTTCCCTGGAATACTACATGGGTCGAACCTTGTCCAACACCATGATCAACCTTGGAATACAAGGTGCTTGTGATGAAGCTATGTATCAAGTGAGCCAAATGTGTTTCATGCAATGCAGATCTTAGAATAACCTAACAGTTTGTTTCTATTTGTTTTAAATGAATATTTGTATGTTTATTTACTAAATGTAGTATATAGGGAGAGTAGAATTTAGCTACATACTTAATTTCCATTTTAAATTACATTCGTGTAAATTAAATGTTGCAAATTGGTAATCATTTTGGCAGCCCACTTTTGAATTTTCTCAAGTAATGCAGTATCTTTTCTACAATGAAAAACTGAACATTTACTTCAAATAAAGTTTTATCAAGTTTTGTACTTTGATAACCTTTTTGCTGTTGAATGTGACTTTTGTAAATAGATCTTGGAATTTTATTTGCTCTTGTAACCTCGGCTAAATGTTTTGAGGCTTTCGCCGGTAATCATATCCACTTCAAGTTTTTTTTTGTTTTTTTATTATTATTATTATTATTATTATATATTGATTAGCTAACTCAACAGGACTACCCAACTCCTGCATTAAGGGATCATTTTCCAATAAATTGGTCTTGCATGAGTTTTGTATCATCAGCAAGTTTAGAAATCTTGTTGCTTATAAAATAGTCCATATTACTAATGTAGATAATAAACAACAAAGACCCTAGGCAGAAGGTTGCTCATTTATTACACCTTTCTATTTTTATACCTTAGTCAATTTTTAATTCTTTTGAACTTTTCACAGTTTTCATAAGAGTTTAATTTACTGATCAACCTAATGTGAGGAACCATATCAAGCCCTCTAGAAATTTAGAAACCCAATAACAAAGGTATCTTTGTCTAGACAAGCAAAATAAAGTCTAAGAAAATAAATGAGAAAAGAAAAACCCTTCCTATAAACTTATGATGATTATTTTAATCTTGCCTTAACCCTAAAAGTTCCTCTTGAAGTGATCTCTAACAAGCTTACCATCAGCAGAAGTCAGGCTAGTTGGCCTGTAATTTCCTGGAACTTTCTCAAACTTTGTCTTTTTAAAAATTGATATTATACTGACTACTTTCTAATCACCTGGAATTTCCCCCTGTATTTGATATTTTCTAGAAGATTTAAGTTTAACACACAAAAACAGACTCAATATTTAGCCTCTTTTTAAAGGTAAGTGATTATCAGGTTCAGGAGTTTCACTATCTATAAGAATAAGATTTCCTAGCTTTTCCAAAACATGATTATAGACACGTCACTATGGTAGTCTAATAAAAAACTTGAGCAGATAAAAGCAAAAGCTGTAGTTATCAACGTGCACCTGTAGTGGTCTCTTCACTCATTAAAGTATTCTGTTTTTTCCATGTAAAACAAACAAAGTGTTAAGAAACTGATAATTCATAAGATATCCTTAAACTGTCTCATTGAAATTAGACTGTCAAGTAGCTATTATTAACTTCACTTTATTTTTTCTGCTTTAAAACTTTTATTTTGTAGCTGGGTTTAGATATTGAGGAGCTGGAAGACATAGAAGAAGATGCAGGACTTGGTAATGGAGGGCTTGGCCGGTTAGCTGCTTGTTTTCTGGACTCTATGGCAACAGTTGGCTTGGCTGCTTATGGCTATGGTATAAGATATGAATATGGCATTTTTGCACAGAAAATTAGGGGAGGTGAACAGGTAAGAGCATTCACAAGTCACCACATAAGCAAATGAATGTCTTTATTGGTCATATTTTTACCAATAATACCAATTATTGGTGTGATGCTATAACAAACTAAACTTTGAAACACGTGTTTAAAAAATATAATTTAAAGTGGTTGATATAACTAATCGCAAACTGTTTTTTTTTTATTCTTTTTTATAATTCTGCACTATATTATAAACTGTCTGTTTTCACTAATTTATATACTAATGTAATTTGCAGATAGAAGAGCCAGATGATTGGCTCAGGTTTGGTAACCCATGGGAAAAAGCCAGACCAGAGTATATGCTGCCTGTGAACTTCTATGGACATGTCCAGAAAACTAACCGTGGCTACAAGTGGGTTGATACACAGGTGAATGTGAAGTTTCACTATTGTACAGTGCTGTATTAATACATGCATTAGGAAAAAACTAAACAGAAGTTTTAATTTATAATTGTCTGTTCTGTAGAAACTTATCTTTCAGTTTTTCTTTTGCAACTGAAAAATATTGAGCTTAATATTATGGAAAAAGCTAACTAGTAATATTGTTGATATTGTACAAAATGCATGAAAAACATACACTGTAAAACATACAGTGCCAAAACCTAGTTTAATCATATTGTTACTGGGAACCCTTCTACCATTATATTTAATAATGGGGGAAAACTTTCATGTTACTCATATTCATTGTCCCAAATATTCTTTTCTTTTTTTGACTATTTTTGAACCTTTTTTTTTTTTATTATTATTATTATTATTATTATTATTATTACAGATTGTTTTTGCCCTACCTTATGACACTCCAATTCCTGGTTTCCGTAACAATGTAGTGAACTCTTTACGACTTTGGTCTGCAAAGTCTCCTAATAGCTTCAACTTAAGATTTTGTAAGTATCTTAGTAGTCTATTCCATATTAATCTCCAAAATATGCTATCTGTAATATTAAAATTTGCAATTCCAAGTTTTTTGCAAGCTATTTCAACTGCAAACAAAACTCTTCACTATTTACAGTAGACACAATGTACCCATATTAGGGTATTGGGAAGTACATTCTTCGAACACTTGGTCTACAAATTCTGCAAGTTATTGTTATTTTTCTGTTATATTTTTGAGGGAATTCTGAGCTAGCTTGTTTATGGTAATTATTCAAATTGTCAAAACGAAATAGAACATTGGTATCAATGTTGTTGTTTTTTCTGGGAAGATTAATGAATGTTACACTATTTCTAAAATTGTAGGTGAAAGTTGTTAGAAGCATTGTAAATACACCACGTTGTGTCAATGTTGTCATGGGGAAATTGCTAGAATGCATTGATAATATAAAATTAAGTTGTACTATTTATGTTTTCGTCTGACTTCTCTGCTATGTGACTGTCTCAGCAAAATGCTTAAATTTGGAATAGGTTTAGGAGAAAAAACAACAACTTTTTGCTTATAATAGAAGGACAACCAAAGTCTGGTCAATGGTTGTCCTTCATGCAACAGTTCAAAATGTCTTAAACTTCTTCACTGGTCCTGATACCCTATATGATCCATATTCCTTTGCTTTCCAATAATATTAGGTAGTTAAGAGATATCCCAATGATGAGAATTCTAAATCTGTAATTTAAACATGTCATCATGGTCTTTCCGTATGTGCATATTTCATATAAGAAGGAGCTGTTACTTTTCCAAAAATTGAGCAATTTTCATTAGCATCGCACAACTATGTTAAAATGTAATTCAGATGCATGCTGTTCCAGTGGCACCTTATCAGCTAGATTTGCATATTCAAATTGTTTTAATATAACATACTCTACCCTCTATTTTTATCTTTAAGTCGTAGAAGTTTTATAAATGCACATACAGACCCACAAACTGTTTCTGAGTTTGTGCAACCAGGGAATTGTGAACTGATATCTTCTGATTGGTTGTGATTTATTAATGTTTCGGTGTATATAAGATAATGAGTTTTTATACTACTATAATTGCAATGTAGTTTTCTCATTTTGTCTTATTTAATAACTTAAATTTCCTTTTAGTTAATGATGGAGACTACATTCAAGCTGTACTTGACCGTAATTTAGCGGAAAACATTTCTAGAGTGCTTTATCCAAATGATAATGTAAGTAAACTTAAAATTAGTTATCCCTAATGATCCACAAGTTGTGCTAATGCCTTTTGTTATTGTAATGTAATCAATCCTGTTCCACAATATGATGTAAAAATGATTACTTGTGGAATATGCAAACTATTATAAATTTGGCATCTTCCATACCTTGTAGATGGTTGATTTATTGACTCTTTTGATACAAATTGTTGAAAGACATAGGACGTAAGTGCAAGTTCAATACGTTGGAAGATTTATAGAGAGAGAATTATTATTATTATTATTGATATACTGATGCAACAGTTTTAATTACTACTTATAATTAATTTAGTACTTAATAAAAAAAAAAAAAAAAAAAAAAAAAAAAGGGGGGGGGGGTTTAATTATGTTTTTAATATAATTAAATCTTGTGTCTTTTCATTTCTACAGTTTTTTGAAGGGAAAGAACTGCGTCTAAAGCAAGAGTACTTCATGGTGGCTGCAACCCTTCAAGACATAATTCGTCGTTTTAAGTCTTCTAAATTTGGCAACAGAAACCCTATACGAACATCTTTTCAGACATTTCCTGATAAGGTAAATTTATGTGTTTCTATGGAATGGTTGAACTATGTATACAACTATATTTGTGTTTTAATGTAAGTAATCTTAGCAAGATTGATATGAAATTTTAGACTGTGCAGAAAACAATGTTTTAGTAAGTTCACAAGTAATGATAGTTAAAATAAAAATTGCAGGCTTACATATTAAACTTTCTCATTCTTAGGTAGCCATTCAGTTAAATGATACTCACCCTGCCTTGGCTATTCCTGAACTGATGAGAATTTTTGTTGACATTGAAGGTTTACCATGGGAAAAGGTGAGGTAGCATTGCTAATTTGTAGTTGTATGGGTTTTATGGTATGAAAATTATATATATATACTCACTCACTCTTCTTCTTTTTTTTTTTTCTTCTCCTCCTCCTCCTTGAAGCTGCTCCCTAGTATTGATGTAATTGATCCTGGAAGAGTGACTACAAAAGTTTTACAGAAGACTAATGCATACTTAATAATAAGTTGGCAACAATGATTTATAAGCAGATTAAAGACTGGTTTTCTGTTGAAACATGTTCTTCCCCAAAATAAATCACTTTATTATGCTTATCAATTGTTGTTTACCAACTTACTATTATATTACTATATTTACTTTATTACTCAAGTAATAGGTTTAAACAGTATTATGGAAAAGAGTAAATTATACTTTAAAAAAAAAAGTTTTAAACTGTTACTTTTTTTTCTTTCTTTTTTTGAAAGTGAATTTAAATAACAAATTTTGATACCTTTTTAATGATATTTAGTTAGTTTTATTTTACATTCTCTGTAATTTCCTGTTCTTTAGGCTTGGGATATTACAGTTGCAACCTGTGCCTATACCAATCACACAATTCTTCCTGAGGCATTGGAACGTTGGCCAGTTAAATTGCTTGAAAGGATTCTACCTCGCCACCTGTTGATCATTTATGATATTAATTCACACCTCCTTAAGGTAACTTTATCATAGCTTTTATAAGAAAGTATTGTAATATGAAGTGAAACGGGTTGTTTTAATGTTCTATAGCAACCCATGGCATTTATTTAAATGCCAGGAAGATCCAGTTGTTTTGTATATGGATCACCAACACAGTTTACAAAAAAAAAGGAAACTATCAATTTTATTAAAATACTAATTTTTTTTTTTTTTTTTTTTTTTTCCCTTCTTCCTTCCTTCCTTCTTCAGAATATAAGAATAGTACCTATAATTTATTATCAGTTGATTCTCAGTCTTGGTTAAACTTTCAAGATAGTTTAGCAATTTCATTTTGTATTGCATAGATTAACTTTGTTTGCTGTCAGTGCTAATATTCTACTTTTCTGATGTGATCAGTGCTGATCATGTTGTAATGCAGTTGGGTGCTGGACGTCATGGCTAATGAATCTCCTTACAAGAACTCCTTATAGATACCATACAACACTATTCCCAGTGGAGTCGGTTAACATCTCTGGTCATCAAATGTTTCCTACTATTTGCTTAGTCATTTTTTTGATTCATACAGCCTGCTTTATTCTCCATTTGTTGTTGTAGAATTTTGTAACTACTTATCCTTCATCATATGATCTAAGGGGAAGGTATGATTCATCAGCTGGGCCACCATTTTGTTGTGTTTGTTTAGTTTACTTGATGGTGTTAACAGATTCTTCCCAGCTTGGATAAAGTACACCTTTTCACTTGTAATCTGATAAATGTCGTCAAACTACTATCTTGGGTAATTAATAATAGTAAATAAGGTATCTCCTCACTTGCATCCAATGAAAGTCTGTGAGAAATGTTGTCAAACTACCATTTTGTGTAAGTAATAATTGTAAATATGGTATCTCCTCGCTTGCATCTGACCATGTTGTCAAACTACCATTCTGCTTGGCATGTGATGATTAATATACTATGATAACTAGATGTATGCTGTTCTTTAGCTAAGCTATTTGGTATATGAATTTTCTCCTGTTGTAAATCATTTCTTGATTACACTTCCCTAATGCTTGGTACAATTATACTCTTGATGCTTAACTTTCAAGAATCTTATTCTTTCTAGTTTTGTTTATTTTGTGTTATTTAGAATTTTCATTACATGTATTTATTAGATTGATAAATGTAGGATTTTATTTTTAACAAGGTTTTTTGTTTCCAATGTTAGTATGGTACAATTGAACACTAAGATTTTCATTTGTTTTTTTTAATTATTAAGGTTTTTACTTTTTTTTTTCCCCCAAAAACTTGCCATAATTTTTCATTCTTTAATAGAATTTGTTTATTTCTTAACCTTGTTCTATTTTCTGTGGTAGAGAGAACTCTCTTCATTGACAGCTTTCTTTAAAAACAATGCCAATATTTACATGTTGTAATTAATGACTTATACCAAGCATTAGCAATCCACTTTGCTTTTCTTGCACATCACAGGAAGTCCAGAAACGATGGCCTAATGATGTAAACCGGCTTCGCAGAATGTCTCTTGTGGAGGAAGAAGGAGAAAAACGGATCAATATGGCTCACTTGGCTATTGTAGGTTCACATGCTGTCAATGGTGTAGCTGCTCTCCACTCTGAAATCCTCAAAACAAACCTGTAAGTTCTATATTGCCTAGAATCATTTATTTAAATCATTAATATTACTTATTTGTAGTTACTGTAGACAGATTGATAAGAGTTATGGTAAGTGTGAAAATATTCACTCAGAATTAATAACAAAGTTCTTGTATGAAAAGTGTATGTACTTGTAGTATATGAGCTCATGTCTTTCATCATTAGGTTTAAAGACTTCTATGAACTCACTCCAGAGAAATTCCAAAATAAAACCAATGGAATAACACCCCGTCGATGGCTAGCTCTTTGTAATTCAAACTTGGCTGATGCTATAGCTGAGGTATGACTTTTGTGCTCTCTGTTTTTCAGTTCAGATTTTTGTATAGTTGAATAATTAAGATTGACCATGGACTGAATATTTTAAATTACTACAGGTTATAGATTATGTAGTAAAAAAACTGTACAATTTTATTTTTAAGTACTGTGTTTTGTTGTTTTCCAGAGGATTGGTGAAAACTGGCTGACACATCTAGAAGATTTAGAGAGAATTAAACCTTTGGTAAATGACAGGAGTTTTAGGAGAACATTCCAAATTGTTAAACAGGTTTGTACTTAGTATTTGGTTAAGATAAATTCCTCTATTGAATCTTTTTGTCATAAATGTTAATGATGTTAGGTCAAGAATTATTATC